AGAGGAAAACCATTATGTTTCAATTGGACATTTTAGTGTTTTTCTTATATATGGAAGGGCTTTTGTAAAAACTTCTCAATGGAACTGTTGCTGTTAAAGCAAAACACTTTGTATGCCTGTGTGCCTTCAGTGTAGCACATAGGAGTTGCCAGCAAAACGAGGATATCCAAAAACAAACACCCTACACCAGCCAGTGTCTTCAGAAGCTGAGAGATGGATCAGGGCTCTTCACCAAGAGTTTTATATTGGTATGGCAGCATGTGTTGGAGTCCATGATCTAAATAAGCTCCTCCTTTAATGTCGCTGTACCTTGAATTGTACTAGACTTTCTGTTCTTGCAGGTCTGAGATCCTAGACAAGGATCCTAGACGAGGTGGTGCTGCCGCTTCCCTCTTGTGCGTTTTTGCGGAACAGCTGGGTGCTGCAAATAAATCAGGATTTCTTGGACTTTTAAGCCATCCATATTGTGAAATACCTGGAAATAGTAGGACATTATTCAGACACCTTCATGGTATTCTCCATCAGTAAGCTTGTTGTTATCCTCATATCTCAGAGGTGCCTGCTGCCATTAGTAGGGACATTTTAAATACGTATTCTCTAAAGGAATAACTTAATGAACCAAGGGTTAGCACCAAGAGATGTGTACTAAGCATGAGAAGATACTAACTGCTGTTAAAACACACTTCTCTTAGGAGATGTGTGCATCCAGCCCATGGCAACGCATGCGTTTTAATTTTAAATTTATTTTTCCTTCCTCATTTTGGCGTCACTTGTATACCAGTTAGGCTGTTACCGAGTCTTCTGGAGTTAGATGGTATGGGTAGCTGGTCTGCTGCTACTCAAAAAGCAATCTGTAACGCAAGGGCGTCTGGCTCTGTTTTGGCAGAACTCTTCAGGTAGCTCCGTAATAGCTATTTGGATGCCAAGCAGACAGTAAATAAGAGGTTACAAGCTTGAAGAGTTGTCTAGTCAGCCAAAAAGAGCAAAATGAGCAGTAGCAGGAAGCACGTAGTTGTGTATTGAAGCTGAAGGGTTTTTTACGCCTGGTGGTAGGGCGCTCTGAAGGTGCTTGTGGTAAAGGTCAGGTTTTTATGGGTGTCTGGCAAACTTGATTTGCATTCCAAATATGAAGGCGTAAGAGGCAGTGGGTGTTGTCCAGACCCACACATCCTGCGGCAGTGAGCAAACCCTCCAGGTATTGAAATCATTGATGCTGTATGCTTGTAGCTCCTTATGAACGTTTCCCAAATGACTTGTACTCTTCTGTTTTGACCTCTGCGGAGAGGGAGGCTTCTTTGGCCAGACACTAGATGGAGATTTTTGATGACCAGTTCAGAAACGGAGGCTGCGGTGATGTGGGTGAGCTGCCTCTGCTCTCCATAGAGTTCTCCGTGGAAGCATGTGCTTGGCGTGCTTCTCCTTCCATGAGGAGCTACTTCGTGACTCCAGTCCATCTTTGAGCCAGTCTTGGCAGAGGTCATCTCGTGTGATTCCTCTGCAGTTCCAGGTCGTGGTGTAAGGCTGAGGCTCTGCCTCCTGCAGCAGTTCAGGAAATTGTTCTTGCCTGGATAACCCAACTGGTGGTTTTATGGGGAGCCCTGCACATCTTGCAACATCTGTCAGCAGAGGTGTGCTTGTTCAGCCTCAGCTTTTTTTAATTTCTTGGGATGGCTGCATTTCAGATGCAGAGGAAACTCGGAGCTTTCAGCTGGTAATTTTACATGCTTTTCTTGCTTTATATCTAACCAACAAGCAGCTCTTGTGCTCAGGTGGGATTCATACCTTGTTTAGCACCTAGCTAGGCAGCTGCGGTTGGGCTCTTGAGGAGCAGCAACACACTTTCTTTCAGTGAGAAGGCAAAAGTAAGTCCTAGGGCTTAACTTGGATCATTTCCCTGATCCACTCCTCAGTACAAACCCACAAGTGTTGGTATCATTACAGCTGAGGAAGAAGCAAGAGAATGAAGGATCAAGGTCTGAGTTGAGAGCACCTTCCAGGAACATCTACCATAGGACTACACCTTTTGGGGCAGTTTCTTTGATTTAAGCTTCATCATTTAGTTCAGACTCTCAAACATCTGTTTTGAATATATTTTTGAGGGCTTAGAATTTCAGGGTGCTTTGGGGAGAAACGCGTTTGGAGGAACAGCACAAAGGGCCATGTAGGACTGGAGAACCAGCCGGTCATCGTGTTTATGCAGAGCTGCAGGTACGAAAGGTGTGAAATGAGGTTTCGCAGTGCAGGGTTTCACATCGGACCAGTGCGGAGGATAACTGCTCGCTGCCTTCCACACTGGGTTTTGGGGCCAGAAATAACGAGAGATGCTTAGTGCTTAAGAACGGTGTCAGTGCTTTAACGAATTTGCTACTGCTTAATGTTACTCTGCCATTGAATAATTATTTCCAAGTCTGCTTTGGAGAATTCTGGTATTTGCATCACCTGCAAAATGGAATTTAAATCTTGAGTTGACCTGCAACACACGATGGTGCCTCTGGATAGACCTTTCATTGAAAGCAGCTCAGGGGATCTCATGCTAAGGAGGAATTACAAGCCTGGCAGCGCTGTAATTGAGGTTAATCACGTAACTGACAACCAGCTACAGAATCAAATGGGATGGATGGGAAAAACATTTTATAATACCGTGACTTACCAATGGGAATTACTGTATGACTTGAATACTGCAGAATTGTGCATCGAACTGTCCTTTATGTAGCTAAAATTGATAGATTTGGTAGTTTCGCTCTACATGGGTAAACTGGGGCTTTCAGCAGAGCATGGATAATTTAATGGTTTGTCCTGCTTGTTGGACTGAAAAGAAAAACCAGATAAATTTCAATTTGCGAGTAAACTTGATTTTTTTTTTTTAAACTAAAATTAGTTTAATAAACTCGTAGTCTTCCAGAAGTTTAGTGTTGTGGCTTTCTTTAAACCACTGTTAGCAGAGCACGGAAAACTTTAGTTAACCCTGGCGTAAATGTTGAGTGTGATAAACGGATGTTACGGCAATTCTAAATACTTCACTTGTTTTCTCAGATGGAGGTGAAGAAGAGAAGATGGAAACAGAGACAGATGGGCAACAGCCTGAGAAGGTAAGCTTGGCTCAGTACCCTGGTTCTGGAGAGATCGTTCGGGTGCTTGCAGACCTGAGTTATGTTCTACAATGCTGTGTAAGAAAGGTAGATGGTAGCGTGGTGGTCAGTGTGCGTGTCCGTAGGGAACAGTGTTCAGTCTCCCTGGTGCCTCGTTTCCTTACGCGTGATTTAGGCTCAAGTCATATAGAGACGTTTCTTTTGCTGGGTGAACGACAGGAATGAGATGTCAGTGTGGTTTCTAATCCTCAGAAAAAAAGACTAGGACTGGGAGGAACTGTAAAATGGGCGATATCAAATTAATTATAGAGACTTAAGCTGCAGAAGGACGTTGGTGTGTTACGGTTCACGACTGGTAGGCAAGCAAGCATCACTTGGAAGTCTTGCCCTAGAAAAGTTTGTCTTGGGACAAATTGCCTTCCCGAAGTTGAACACAGCTTTTGGTTCTGACAAGATCAGAGAGACCAGGGCTTTCCAGGACATGGGCGAGTTGTGTGGGGCTGAACAGAGAACCTGAATGAAACTATTGCCCCAGCTGCTTCCCAGCTCTCCAGCAAGTTACGTGTCCGTTCGGTCTGCACGATCGCGTGAGGATGAGATCCTGCTGACTAAATGAAGGTGCACGTAGCCAAGCTGGTCAATAAAACTCATTGCAAGAAGTCTGGGCTAGCTCTTGGCTATAGGTGTGTGTGTATTGTGTACTTTTGATGTTAGACACAATGCATCCTGCCCATGAAGAGCAGATATTTAGAAACCAATTCCTTCAACCTGTTGATAGTGCCTACAAGAATGCGGTGGCTGGGGTTTTGTTGGGTTTTTTTACAACCCCGTGTCACCCAGTACCTGTTTTCAGATAGTCTGCAATAATGGCACTGGCTGTGATTGCTTCAGACATAAACTCAAATTAAACGAATATCCTGGAATTAGAATATCGCTCTGCTAAACAAATGGTAGCAGGCGCTTATTGAGTCTGCAGCAACAGGAGATATTTAGACTGGATGTAAGGAAGAAATTCTTTCCAGTGAGGGTGGTGAAAGCCTGGCAGGGGTTGCCCAGAGCGGGGGTGGAGGCCCCATCCCTGGGACCATTCCAGGCCAGGTTGGCCGGGGCTGTGAGCAACCTGCTGTGGTTCAAGGTGTCCCTGCTCCTGCATGGGGGTTGGGCTGGGCGACCTCTGGGGGTCCCTTCCCACCCAAAACATTCTATCATTTGTGTTGCCTGCTTTGTGAAATGAAGGAGATACCACTAACCTCATGGCTGCTGCCCGTAGGCTTGATGTTACTTCTCATTCTGCTTTCAGACCGTTCTTTTGCTGCCTTTCTGATAAATAGTCAGGTACACTTAGGTGGGTGTCAGTGTTAGAAGACTTGGTTGGAGCTTGAAAAGATGTGTTGTTCTGTAGAGCAGCAAAAATGAGAAACGTGCGGGTTGGTTTGGACCATTTGCAACGATGCTTCCAGTCTTAAGCACGCAGCTGCTGCTGATTTCATTAATACTAAATTAAGGCTCCTAGATTTTAACAGGGAATATTTTTATTTTACTTCCATCTTGCAAACGTTGCTTTCTTCCGCTAATTCCTGGACAGAAGCACCCTCCTGTAACGGGTAATTCTGTTGTGGTATTTATTGCCACAGGATGCCGTTGCGACTGTGAGTTCTGCAGAATTTGGAGCTGTGTGGAGAGGTGAATGCTGCATGAATTCTTAACGTGGCAGGCACTGGAAGGGACAGAAAACTGATGCACAAAGTACTGGAATAAATGGAGACAGAACATGTGCTTATGTCATCTTAGTTCAGGATTTCTTGCACCTTCAGATGAAACTTGGCCCAGGATGCTGAATTGGACAGACTTCCCTCCAGTATAGTGGCTGGTTATTTTATTCAGATTTCAGATGGTCAAAATGGGCTTAAGTGTAGTGGTCAGCCTTTAAAACTGAATCTTTTCCTTTATGATAGTGAATTAATTTGAAAGCTATGAACAAAGTTAACAGTGAATGTCTTCTATAGCTCTCAAATGATCTTTCATCCCATTCAGGTTGAAAACAAAGCAGAGAGTGAAATTGAGGAAGGCGATAAAGTACAAGAAGGAGAAAATGAGAGAAATCCAGAAAAAGAGCAAGACAGCGAAGTGACTGCAGACACCAAGCCAGGTAATGGTTCCCAGCTGCTCCTCAAGCTGTGTTGGCTTTAATAGCCTTCCTCTAAAGTGCTCAGAATAGCCTATAAACACAACCGTGGCAGAAATATTTCCTCTTGCACATCAGGCTGCCTCATGGTTCAGTAGTAAATATTCTAGCTTAATTTCACTGCAAAGCTTAGGCACTAAATTCTTTCCTCTGAACTCCTTTTAGACCTCAGCTGAGCTGTCGGTCACTGTGTGTAGCGACTGGGTGAAGGAATTGCAGTAGCAAAGTGCGTGTAGGTCATATAAATGATTTTATTTTGCCTGTCCCGCAGGCAAACGGGACTGCTCGCTTCTACCCTTGGAAGTTATATGGTAGCTCAGTTTCCCTGAGAGGTGATGCAGAGCCTTTATTTTGACAGACTGAATACCCTTTTTTTTTCTACATCAGACATTCTTATTATTTATGTTTAACAAGTTCCCCTTGTACCACATGGATATATAGCTTTTTCCTGGAACTTACATGCAGTATTTTAGCACCAGGTGGAACGAGGGGCATTTGGGTTTGATGTAATAACGGCGTTGATTTGGAAATGCAGCTGAAATTGTTCGGACGAGAGTAAGCTGATGGCAGAAGCTGAATTGACAGGATGGAAACCAAAAGCATTTAAAGTCGCCCCGTTGGTTGGATTGGATCCTCTGGGACTTGAGTAGTTCCCATCAGCGTTTGGACGAGTAGCTTTACTGTAACATAGGAACGTGACAGTGTGTGGATGAATTAATTTATCTGACTCCTAGCAATGTGCGTAGTGCGACTCGTGTCCCGCCGCGATGCTGTTAACGAGGGGAGAATGGACGTAACAGACTTGGCGGTAAATCTCTTTCAGAAGAAAAGGAGGCAGAAGAGAACAAGGAGAACGTTGATGCAAGCAAAGACAAAGAAAACGAGGCTGGGAAGAAGAAAGTGGAACACGAAATCTCGGAAGGAAACGTAGCTACAGCTGCAGCTGCTGCCCTTGCCTCAGCTGCCACCAAAGCAAAGGTTTGTTGTGTACAAATATCCATTGGCTTGGCTTCCAGTTGGCATCGGAACGCTTCTCAAAGTGGTCCTTTGTTCCAGATCTGCGCGGCTTCATGTTCTAATCTCTAATACCTTGAAGGAGCACAAGTGCCATCTTCAGTTTCTTCTGCTTGAACTCCTAAGTGAAACAGTGTACGGTTTTAATTTAGGCAGCTATTTTTATGATTAGGAAGTCGGTGAACATCCCTATGAAATAGCCCCAAAACGTGCTCGCCGTTTTTGGGAAGACTTTTCTCTGCCCGCTGGGTCTGGCTGTAATGCTGAGGACATAAGTCTGGGTGATAAAACCCTTACGATGCCTTTTTTGCTGTGCTGCCGGCTGTTCTGGGGACTTCACACGAGCCTTGGGCTCCTTGTCTGTAAAACCAATGTGATGTTCACTTCTAGCATTACAATTTTTTATGGACAACTTAATGATTTTCTGCTAAGAGGTACCGTGGGTCTGTTACAAGCACGTTCTTGTCTTGCTGTCATTAAACTTCTGTTTGTTTGTCGGTAGTCTCTTAATGAGCTGTGGTTTGAATCAGTGTCCTATCTAACAGCTTTTCTTTACCCTATAATTACTAATTGCATGTTGTCTTTTATTTTCTTTTGGCAGGAACCAGACCGCCTTCTCTTCTTTCAGAATATCTTTTTCAAAAGCTGTTTTCTCTTTACGTTTTTGTTTTTTTTTTGATTCAACTTGTGGTTTGGGTTTCTTAATAGCTCTTGGATTCAGTGCCCTGTTCCATGTCACGTACTTTATAGATAGAAGAGCAAAGCATGGATGGTGTTTATTTCCTGATGGATTTCCAGGACATAATGGCGAATGTAATGAGGTGTTGCATGTCTCGTACTGGCTCCTTGCAGTCTGAATCTTTGACTCTTAGCACTTTAGACTTTTTTTTTTTCCCCCAACTGCATCATATATACTGAGGATAGTGCGATGATAGGTGTTGTCTGGATGATACAGTCCCTCCTGTATGAACCCCTGAGAGTTGAGGGTATTTTTAGTCATCACCTTTCAAGTCAGGTTCTAAAATCACAAGTAGCACCAGCTCAGTGTTGCGTAGCGTCGGAGCCCGGCACCCTGGCTGCGTGCAATCCCACTTTGCAGGCAAACGTCAGGTTCGTTATTTCGGTGAAGTGTGGAATCCTAACGAGCTCGCTTGGGCATCACTTTGCATCTGAACCTCTGGTCCACCACGCTCTTTTACTGAGAGTAATGTACTGTCGGTTCATCAGACTTACTGATATTTTCAGCCAAGTTAAAAGAAAAACCAAAAACCTGCATATATATATATGCCACTGTGAGAAATGGTGTCCAGTGAGTGTGTGCGTTCAGGGGTGAGGCTGGATTCCGATGTATAGAATGAAGCAACAATTTTAAATGCATTTTTACAGGTTATGGCCTCCGTACAAACAACGTTAGAATGATTTAAGTCCCTTTTCCTCATTTTCTTCTCAGACTGCGGAATCCATGTGAGCTATTTTTTCCTTTTGGTGCATAAGTAGCGCCTGATAGCAAATGTCCTCTCTCCTGCAGGTTGCTGGTAGCTTTTGTCTGGTTGTGACTGAGCTGCAGAGCTGCTGCTGGAGCTCTTGATCCATCACTTCCACAGCCAAAAAGGACTGGTCTGGTCATAATTTGGCCTCATGCATAATGCTGATCCCATAACTTCTCTGAATTTCTGGTTTGAGGTAGTTGTGACTGAATGTACTGTGACTGAATACATCTTCTCTAGAAGACGCTGATATCAAAACTGCCAGCAATGCAAAGCCTGCTCTAGCTGCCCATAAGTCTTTTTCCATGGGTGGCAAACTTGGCTGTCAGTCTTTATTCCTAGTCCAATATTCCTCAACCACCAACCATTGCAGCACTTCCCTTTGCCTACTGAATTAAAAAGCCTTCAGTTATCAACTGCTTTTTTTTTTTTCCATGTGTAAGTATTTAGAAGCACAAAATTTAGGAATAGAACAGACCCTGTTGCTAAAATTGTGTTGTTCCTTTTTGCAGGCAGCTACATCCCATCTTGTGTTGATAGGCAAATCAAATTGTCTTTTAACTGGTTCCTTTTTGCTGCTGCTCTAGAAACTCGCTGTAGGACCTCCTTCATCTCCTGCTCAAATGTACGCATGTCAGGACTTAGGTTTTTTTCATTGTGTGCCTTAATTTAGACAGTTCTGTGTTAACCTGCTGCCTTTATTTCTTCTGTGAAAGACAGTCTTATCCCCTCTTGGTGTCGCAGACAAAAGCTAGGTGAAGCATCTCGACTCCTCTCACCAAAGAGGAAGAGGGAAGGAAGGAGGAATGATTTTCTCTGCCTTTTGCGGTTTCAGCTAACCTCTTGTATGCGGATGAGAAGACTTCAGCCTGATATTCCAGTGAGATGGGGCTAGGATGCTGTTGATTTTCCAGAAGTGTCTCATGGTCTGGTTTTACAGCTGTCCTGGGGGTCCTGGTGGCCAACAAGCTCCATAGGAGTGAGCAGAGCACTGCTGCAGCCAAGAAGGCCAACAGGGTGCAGGGGGCCATCACCAAGGGCATCACCAGCAGAGGTAAAGGAGTCATCATCCCACTCTGCTCAGCGCTGGCCAGGCCACACCTGGAATCCGGTGCCCAGTTCTGGTCCCCGCTGTACAAAAAAAGCTGTGGGCAGGCTGGAGGGGTCCAGAGCAGGGCCCCCAAGGTGACCCAAGGCCTGGGAAGCCTCTCTCAGCCGTATGGGGATGGGCTGGGAGAGCTGGGTTTGTTCAGCCTGGAGCAAAGGAGGCTCAGGGGGGATCTCATCACCACGTACCAGTACCTAAGGGGTGGCTACAAGGACAATGGAGACTCCGTTTGGACAAGGAGTCCCATGGAGAGGTCAAGGGGGAATGGGTGGGTACAAGTTAATCCTGAGAAGATTCTGATTGGACATGAGGGGGAAATTTGTCCCCATGAGAACAGTCAACCACTGGAATAATCTCCCCAGGGGAGGGGTTGACTCTGCCACATTGGGTGCTTTTGGGATGCAGCTGGACAGGGTGCTGGGCCATCTTGTCTGGACTGGGCTCTTGCCTAGAAGCATTGGACTAGATTCTCCTGGAGGTCCCTTCCAACCTGGGATCCTATGATTTTGTCTATACCAGTTGTCACGCTCAGGCTCTTGCTGCGATTAGCTAGTTTCACAACTAAAGCTGGGTTTAGAAAGATCAGGGGGTAGGCTAGGCTCTGTCAGACCACCGGCAACATGCTGCCTCAGTAACTGGTCTCGTGATTCCTCCCAGGTTTATCAGCATTCATCCGGAAGGGATTTCTGAGCAGAGAAACCAGAGCCAGCATTGTGGGAATGGGCACCAGCCCAGGCGCGGAGGCTCAGGGCTGTACCTCTGTTTGGGATTCCTGTGTTTAAATAGGAAACCAAAAGCCTTGTTCCGTACCCGCTCTCAGCCAGAGGCCGGGCCCACCTTGCTTAGGGACGCTCCGGTCGCTCAGAATTGCTGTGTCCCGGGATAATGTCACAAACCATCTTTTTGGGTTTTTATTTTTGCTTATTTATGACTTAAGGTGGATGCAGCGATGTGTTTATCCAGCAATTGAAATCACTATTAATTTTGTCTTGGGTTTTTTGTCAACCGCAGTTGGCAGTGACTTGTTCTTTGTCGCGTGAAAGCACTGGGCAGTGCCAGGCCAAGGAGCGGTCGTGCCGGGCCTCTTCAGGAAAAACTTCAACGATAGTTTCCTTTCCAATGAGTGTTTTGAGACCTGTCTGTTACCTAATCGTGTGCCTTGCTGACTTTACATTAATCTGGTTTCATATTAAAATTGCACACATGGAGCAAGGCGAAATGATGGCCAGAGGCCGTGTGTATTGGCAAAGGTTGCTTGTGTCACTCTGACCTCACACTAACGAGCTGTTTTACTTAACGGTATTAATTGATGTTCCATTTTCTAGTTCTGTCAGCATCTCAGTGACATTCTTTCACGTGTGCACCGCTCTTTGGTCGGTATTTAACTGCAGAGCCTGCTGCGATTTCACCACGGCCTGCTCTTAGATCTGGCTTGTACCAGGAGTGGTGTGGCCAGCAGGAGCAGGGCAGGGAGCGTGCCCCTGTGCTGGGCACTGGGGGGGCCGCCCCTCGACTGCTGGGGTCAGGGTTGGGCCCCTCCCTCCCCGAAGGCCCTGGGGGGGCTGGAGCGTGTCCAGAGAAGGGCAGCGGAGCTGGGGAGGGGTCTGGAGCCCCAGGCTGCTGGGGAGCGGCTGGGGGAGCTGGGGGGGTTCAGCCTGGAGCAGAGGAGGCTGAGGGGAGCCCTCATCGCTGCCTACAAGTGCCTGAGAGGAGGGGGGAGCCGGGGGGGTCGGGCTCTGCTCCCAGGGAAGGGGCGCTGGGACGAGGGGCACCGGCCTCAAGTTGTGCCAGGGCAGGGTGAGGTTGGGCATGGGGAACAATTCCTTCCCCTTGGGGCTGTCAGGGGCTGGAAGGGGCTGCCCAGGGAAGGGGTCGAGTCCCCAGCCCTGGGGGGATTTAACAGCCGGGCAGAGGCGGTGCTGAGGGCCAGGGTTTGGGGGTGGGATGGCAGGGGTAGGGGGGCGGTTGGGCTGGGGGAGCTGAAAGGGCTTTGCCCACCGAAACCATTCTATGATTCTATGAACTTGGGTGGGCGCTCTCGGTTCTCTCAAACTGCACCCAATTTAAAATGAAACTTAGTGAGAGCCTTGAATGTTCCCTGGATTCCCTGAAGCCTTCCTTTATTGCTGGTGGGTTACCAGAGGTGAACGCTGTCGAATGACACAATATATTAGCGATGGAAGCCATTTTTGAGAAATCCTGTTTTCTCATGAGGATTACCAGGGTGTTTGGTGATGCTGCTTTCCTCCAGCCCGGTGTTTCCCCTCATTCTGCGCCAAGGTTTGGGGCACAGCTTGCTAAATACCCGTCTCTGTGTGCAGCTTGAGCTGGATGAGATCCAGCTGCTGCTTTTTCCCTTCTTCCCCTGGGCCCTCACCTTTCCCTTCTCAAAGCCAACCTTCCTTCCCCTCGCCCCTCGGACGTGTCGCTGAGGCTTTGCTTGGACGCTGGGGGTGGGAAGCGTCGTTGGACTGCTCATCCAGAAACTTGGGAGCAGGGCACGTGGTGGGGGCTTTGAATGTCTTTTCGTTTTGAAGAGCAGGCTTTCAACAAAAGCGGGTAGGAGGCATCGTTAACATGCCTGTCACACTTGGAAAAGGTGAAACATTTTTATAGGCTGTCTCGTATATCACAGACACACGCGCATACATCTCCTGTATCATTTATCTATGTGTCTGTATGTAAATGAGGTATAGCTAAAGCCTCATAAAGAATCTATTTGCTTTCTTCCGCCGTTGCTTTTGCAGTTTAAATAGAGCTTTGCCTTCAGCTTTCTTCTGCAATAAGAATGCTCTGCGACCTGGTTATAAAAGGAAACTGGAGATTTATTTTTATTTAACAGTTTCTTCTATCATCCGTGTAGAGATTTCTCAGCAAGCTCTCCCTAGCCCGGGGTGGAACTGCTGCGCTGAGAAAGCGTATGGCTTACTGGTGCGGTGCTGCGTTTCATGGGAGCATCCTTAGCTAGATCCATAGCTCCTCATTTGCTTGAACAAAAAAAATAATATCTTAATGGCCAAGGCATGCAAGGGTCATCTCGGTGGTTCTGTGGGTCGTTGCAGGTGAAAGCCTCCTGTGTGTGTTTTGGTGCAAGGTTTTTGGCTGACCTACAGCTGACTCGGCACGAGGTTCCCCTTGCTCCTCATCTGCATTTCCCCTGAAAGTGCTCTCTGTTGCGCGGCGCTCGGAGGGCTTCAAGGCAAAGCTGGGTTGCTTACGAGTGCTGAGCATCCACAATACCTCCTGTATGAAAACTTGGCACCTATTTATTTGCTCAAAAGCGTCATAATCTTCCAAGGGCTTCTGGTTCCCAGCAGAAGATTGATAATCTAATGCCCTGGTTTCTGTCCAGAAGTGGAATAGGATGGCTAAAGCTAGATGCAGGCAGAGTAGGCTGATTTGTTCCCTTAAAGCACTTTATTTTGTGAAAGGCATGTAAAGCAAAAACCTGTTGTGGTTTTTTTTTTGTTTTTTTTTTTATCCTCAGCACCTAGCAGCAGTGGAAGAAAGAAAGATCAAGTCCCTGGTTGCCCTTCTGGTGGAAACGCAGATGAAGAAGCTGGAGATAAAACTTCGCCATTTTGAGGAGCTGGAAACCATTATGGACAGAGAGAAAGAAGCAGTAAGTAGGAGGGTGCTAAGCTGAAATTCTGCATTAAATCAGTCGCTGCCAAGATCTGTGTATGCTAACAGCTGGAAGACGAGCATCTTCAGCTGCTCCTCACCTTCATGCAGGTCTTCTTGCCTCAGCTAGAATTCATAATTATCCCCTGCAGTAGTGTTGGAGCTCGCTCTTCTATCCAGATCTTCCTTTTGTCTTAGGCAGCACTCTGATAGTATCCTAGGCTTGCTTCCTAATCCTTACTCCTGTCATCTAACTGGTCCGGAGCCCTTATGTTGGTCTTACCACCTGAATGGTACCTGATGTACAAATGGCTTTTCCATGTAAAGCGAGTGAAATGGATGGGAACCTTACTTCCTTCTGCCTGCCTTTCCTTCCTGACCCAGTTTAGACTGGAGATTGGGTTTTAAGCATGTAGTTTGGGTTTTGTTTGGAGAGCATCCTCAGTAGCTCTTGGGGAATGTCCTCAAAGTGAGAGATGCAGTAGCAGAAGGATGCGTGCTCAGGAGTTACAGCTTCTCCTTGAGATGGTGAGGGATGTGCCTGAGCTGGAGAGGGCAACAGCAGCTTCAAGAGAAGGGAGGGAGGCAGCGATGCTGGGCAATAGGAAAAGGTGGTTACTTATAGGCACCAGAAAGGTATCAAAATAGAGCAGAGCTGAATTGTCAAATGTAATGAAGTGCAACGGAGGAGGAGGAGGAGGAGCTGGGCAAGCCAAGCAAGACGGTTGTTAGCTTCCATCCTCAATCTGGGCAGGAAGCCAGGGCACGAGTCTGGATTGAGGTCTAGCCAGCTGGAGGCGGTGGTGGCACTAAGAGAGCACATTCTGATGCATCCCGAGCGCGGCTGTATTTATATTGCGGCACTGGTAGCAACACCTTACTGGAGACTTGGGTGCCCCTAAAACGGGGCTATAACACGGAAGAGAAGCCGTCTCTGCCTGTCGGCGGCTGGATCACGCATCAGTTACTGAGTGTTCTTGCATATTTGGTGCAGCGGGCTTTCAGAGAGGCGGTTTCTCTCCTCTGCTGTAAAGATCACCCAAAACTTCATTTTTAATCAGAGAGCAGCTGGGGTTTGTACTTTGTTGTGTAGCTTGCTCCCGTTTTGTCACTAGCCAGTCACTCCAGGGCTGTTGAAGATAGGGGCTCACAATTCTAGGGGGTTTCCCGTTTGCCCGACCGTGCGAGTTTAATGGAATTTACTTCCTCGCTTTGGCATGAGTCACATTGACAGAGTTTGACAAACGGTGCTCTCTTGTTGTAGCAGAATGTCAGAATTTCTAGATTGCTCAGCATCCACCACCATTCCGGTGTGGGGTTTGCCTCTGACACTGATTGGCAGCTCCAGAAATGGACCTAACTATTTTGCAAAGGTTCCCTGTAGATTTCTGTCTTTGGGGGATATATTCTATTAGTGACAGGGGTTTTTTTTCCCCCCCATTCTGAGGCATATGACATTTTCCTGTTTAAAAATGTACATACAGATTTTTCCCTTGGCTTTCTGGTAGTTAAATTCGGTCTTTTCACCTGTCACTGTGGATATTGAGTGGAATAATTAAAGCAAAAAATTCCTTAGTGCTGTTGCACACTATGCATACGTCCTTATTTGCTGCACTGGCTTTTTCTTGTAGTAAAGGTGAGGCCACTCTAGGTGTTGAAGAAATCTGTGCTGCAACTGGAGGGTGTTAGATTTTAGGCAAAACACTTTTACTTCAGTGTTTAAGCTAAAGTCATTCCAGTGCTGCCAACCCTGTGTCTACAGGGATCCTGTTGGTAGGAGCCTTGTTGACCCAGAGTTTGTAACAGCACGTGAATGCTTTCTTTACCCATGTTTAGGGAGGATTTACTTGCTGGAGATGAGATTGTAGCACAGTGATGGTTATCGTGTATAAATTAGGTGCTTGCAATAGTCCCTCCTCATTGTGAATCCCTTTGAGACAGTGCAAAAACCCACGGTTGCAAATTTGATGATCATCAAGAGCATAGTATTCGTGACTGAATATTCTGTATTTACAGTATTCTGTACCTGAAAATTTGGCCGATTTCCTGAATCGGGGTGCGTAGGGAGATCGCGTGGCAGACCAATGCATCCTGACCTTCCGTAAGGTGCCTAGCCAAGGTACAACTGAGTTCTGAGAGTCCAAGAGTAAATGCAAATTACTGCTAGGCTGCCCACCAGAAAATGCCTTCCTGCGGGTTGTCTTAACGCCAGTCTGGGCCGGGGCAGTAGGTTGTGTCCGTAAAGCTGCTTCTGAAATGATTACAACAAATACAAGAACCTAGTACGGAAACAGGTGGTTTCGGCTCAGTGTGAATTTTAAGACCAGCTTGAGTTCTAACTTGTGTTTCTGTGCCTCCTTCCTCTGCCCAGCTGTCCCTCCTCATCCTCAGGGGAAGGGAGTGTGTAGAAGGGAACTTGTCACTGGTTTTCCTAAGTACAAGGTGTGTTTTCAGGCACTGGATGCTGTTTGGGGATACTTGCAAAGACTTTTTTTCTTTTTTTTTTCTTTTTTTTTTCTTTTTTTTTCTTTTTTTTTCCTTTTTTTTTCTTTTTTTTTCTTTTTTTTTCTTTTTTTTTCTTTTTTTTTCTTTTTTTTTCTTTTTTTTTTCTTTTTTTTTTTTTTTTTTTTTTTTTTTTTTTTTTTTTTTTTTTTTTTTTTTTTTTTTTTTTTTTTTTTTAAAAACTCTAGCAGGATAGGGGACCATGAAGAGCCAGCAGGAGCAGGGAAGTGACCATGCCCCTGCACTTGGTGCTGGTGAGGCAGCACCTTGAATGCTGGGGTCAGGGTTGGGCCCCTCACTATAAGAAAGATGTTGCCTTGCTGGAGCGTGTCCAGAGAAGGGCAGCGGAGCTGGGGAGGGGTCTGGAAGGCCCGATTTGCCAAAGGTATTCCCACCTGCAGCACAGGCTCCGGGAGCAAATCCGAATCACCAAAAGAGTTGTCAAGCACTGGAAGGGGCAGCCCAGGGAAGGGGTCGAGTCCCCAGCCCTGGGGGGATTTAACAGCCGGGCAGAGGCGGTGCTGAGGGCCGGGGGTTGGGGGTGGGATGGCAGGGGGAGGGGAACGGTTGGGCTGGGGGAGCTTAAAGGGCTTTGCCAACCCAAACCATTCTGGGATTCTAAGAGAGCAAAGCAGGAATACAAAAGAGTATAGAAAGAATATAAAAAGTTGGGTCCGGCCGTCCTTCTTGGCTAAGCCTTTGTTGCGGGTCATTTGCAGTCATTCTTCTCTGAACTGCCTGCCACCTCCCGAATCTGTTTCCACACATGCACAATTACACCATTGGTGTACGTGTCCCTTCGTTTTATCAAGCTCTTCCCGCTAACTTATCAGATTGGTCAAGGAAAAAGGAGTCACGGCAGCATGAATAATCGCATTGTGGTCCCTACATGCACAAAACCAGCCCCCACCAAGGAGTATGTATTATTCATTAGGCTCTGTCCCCATCTGGTTCCGTTGGTGAATGCATGCTCTGTAGCATTCTGTTTGCATCCATGCTTTGTCAGCAGTCAAACTGCTAACACAGAGTATTGACGGAGCTGTGGGATTCTTGGAGAAGTTCTGCTAGGTGGAAGTCTCCTTGGCAACCTGCTTTTTAGATAAATTATGGAGTATATCTTAAAATACTCATTAAATATTTGTAAACTAGTCACACAGATCCACGTGTCCAGTTGCTTAAGAGTAATAGATGTAGAAATGCGTGATGATTTCTTAAATAAGGCAAATTACATATGCTTCCTTAACCAGGACAGTGATCCATCATATAAACGCCCAATAGTAAGAAATATTTTCTGTAGCTTTTTCTCTTTCCATTTAGAATCATAGAATCCCAGAATGGTTTGGGTTGGCGAAGCCCTTTAGGCTCCCCCAGCCCAACTGTTCCCCTAGCCCTGCCATCCCACCCCCAAACCCTGGCCCTCAGCACCGCCTCTGCCCGGCTGTTAAATCCCCCCAGGGCTGGGGACTCGACCCCTTCCCTGGGCAGCCCCTTCCAGCCCCTGACAGCCCCAAGGGGAAGGAATTGTTCCCCATGGCCAACCTCACCCTGCCCTGGCACAACTTGAGGCCATAGTTGGGCTTGCTTACTCTCTAGTTGCTCCATAATTAACAAAGTAGCCCATTTGATGTTAATTGGCCTAAATTACCTGAGGGGTTTTTACATAATAGTCTCAATAATGCAAATCATTGCTGTCTAACTATCCTGATGTCCAGGTCCTACACCAAAAATAAAGGTACTGAGCAGGATCCTGCCTGTAATCCCTGAGCTTGTGCTATTGTGCGTATATTCTGCTTTGGTCTTGCCCTAGAAAATATTTCAGGTTTCCTGTTCCCCCTTGTTCCAACACTCAGAAGACTGAGATAAAAACCATACAAGTTCTTGTAGAATTGTGCTAACAAATGCTCTGCATAGTACTCGTTGAGTAAAGTGTTGGGTTACTGAGAGATTCTTTGGGACGGAACAAGGTGAGTTCAGCCGTTCCAGCTGGAAAATGGCCTGGACCCTGGACCAAAACCTGCTGCAAATCAGACAGTTGTGTATCAATAGGAAATGTGTTTTACACGGAGAGTTCTTAACTTCGCTTTGCCTTTTTTTCCCCTATTTTTGATATAGTTAGAGCAGCAGAGACAGCAGTTGCTGACAGAACGCCAGAATTTTCACATGGAACAGCTGAAATACGCTGAATTAAGGGCTCGTCAGCAAATGGAGCAGCAGCACAGTCAGAACCCCCAGCAGTCTCACCAGCACTCCAGTGGGCCTGGGATGAACCCCCTTGGGGCACCAGCACATCCAGGCTTGCTGCCCCACCAGCAGCCCCCGCCGTACCCGATGATGCACCACCAAATGCCGCCACCTCACCCACCGCAGCCAGGTAAGAGCTGGAAGGAGAAAATCCCCGTACGTTAATAACCATTCATAATGGAGTAAAATGAGAGGAAGAGGTATTGCCCAGTAAAATTAGGGAAGGTGTAATGGATGGTCTGTGTTGCGTAGAGGTTTATGATGGTGCTGCTTGTAAAAAGGAAACACGGTTTGCTAGGAAGGTGAGCTCGTCCCTGTTCCAGAGGTGTGGATGAAGTTTGGGGAGGAGGCATCTTATCAATGTGTCTGAATACCCAAAAGGAGGGAATGAAATAGAGCACCAGACTCTTCTCAGTAGCACCCAGTGACAGGGCAAGAGGCAATGGGTGCAAATTAAAACACGTGAACATGCAGAAAAATACTTTTCCCCCCCCTCCTTATGAGGGTCATCGACCCTGGAGTAGGTTGGCCAGCAAGGTTGTGGAGTCTCCATCCTTGGAGATAGTCACGCCAAGCTCTAAAGTAAAAAATGGAGCTGCTGCCAAGTATTTTCAAATGGTTTTAGCTTGCTGGTATTTCCTTAGACTTTTTTTTTATGCCCAGTGATCTCTGCTCCTTCAAAAACAATCACTCCCTCAAATTCCTCAGGTCATGACACACCTGACTTGGGGGGAAAGGACTGGAATGAGATGCAGATGCAAGAAGCTCCTTAAGCAATTTCCTTTGGCAGGAGACCTGCTTCTAATACGCTCCTGTGCCCTGCTCAGAGCTTCTCTTTCTGGCTTCTGCCCTTCAGTTGTGCTTGATGTCAGGGGAGATTGCAGAACCATCTTGGGCAGAAGGGTCACTTGGAAGTCTCTGGTCCGGCCTCCTGCTTGGAGCACAGCCAGCTGGATCAGATTGCAAGGGACTTGTTCCCTTGAGGTTTAGATATCTCCAAGGGTGAAGGTATTCCTAATGTCAAAGGATGCAGAAATTTGGTGGCTATGGGACTGTGCCTGACCTCAGGAAGAGGAACATCCTGGGTGTAAAAAATATGACTGCCGCTTACTCAAAACAACTATTTGTGCTTCATGGCACAGCCCTACTGTTAAGAAACTAAGCTGCTAACAGTATTTGCAGGCTCACCTTTAAACCATTTTACATTTAAAAGGGATTGGGACTACCAAATGTTGTACTTTTGCTGTGAAGATGCTTATGAGAATTAGGATTGAAAGCTTTACTATACTTGCTAAATGTTGTTGAAATGATAGTTGGGAATAGAATAGCCCCACCTGGCCTGGAGTGGCCTGACTGTCTGCCTGGGCCGTGGCAAAGGACGATGGCTTTTGTTCATTTTCAACTGTTTGAGCAAACACCAGTCTAAAAGAAGACCTTATTGGTTATTAGCTAAAAATATTTGGGAAAATCTTGTACAGGCTGCTGCTGAGGAAGCTGAAAAGCTTGGGGTATCATGATTGAAACTAGGATGTTGCAACAGAAATCCTGTAAGAGCTTGAGTTTTCATCTTGGGAAAAGC